ACTCGATCCCGGGACCCCTGGGGTCTCACACCCTGATCCGAAGGCAGGTGCTCAACCGCTGAGCCACCCGGGTGCCCATAAATTGTCCTTTGTTAAAAAGACTGTCCTACAGCTCCTTTCATTCAGTCCTCTAAACATGTTTGTATGTTGCAGCAGATGAGATTGGATATTTCATTAGAAAGCATCAGGGCAGTTATTTCACAGGCAGATTTTGAAGAACCGTCGTCACTAATCTACTCTGCATGCTGCAGATCTGAGTGAGAAGGAAGCATGGATCTGTGTTGCTGAAAATCGTTGTCGTCTCTGTCTTCCAACAAAGACAAACTTCTTCGTCTTCCAACTCGCTGGCAAGGTTAAATATTTAAGTGTACAGTGTGGTTCCCCCCTCTTATTCGCAAGGAATACATTCCAAGACCCTCAGTGGAAAATAGTATCAAATCCTATATACACTATGTGGTTTTCCTATTCATACCTGCCTATGGAAAGGTTTAATTTATAAGTTAGGCACAAAAAAAGGATCAACAACCATAATAAAATAGAACAATTATAACAATATATCATGTAGAAGCTACGAGAAGGTGGTCTTTCTCTCGCTCAAAATAGCTTACTGAGCTCACCCGTCTTCTTGGGGTGATGTGAGATGATAAAAGGCCCCTATGATGAGATGAAGGGAGGAGAATGGCAGAGGAGGTGTGACGTTGCATTAGGCTACGGTTGACTTCCCAATGATGTGTCAGAAGGAGGATCATCTGTTGATCACAGGTAACGGAGACCTCAGAAGGTGGAGCGGTGAGAAGCAGAACCATGGAGAAGGGCACGACTGCATTTGCTGGGTTTAACCAGGAACTTCCATGTCGTGATCAAAACACTGTATCGGCCGTGAACTATTCATCTTTTACTTCTCTTGCAGCTTTCTTGCAGCTTTCTGCATTAAACAGTGGTAATGAACTGCCAAGTGGCTGAAATGGCAGTTTTTTTTTTTTGTTTTGTTTTTTTGTGGTGGTGGTTGTTCACGTAGGCTGAGATAGTTATTCATTACTGTAGCCTATTCTTATTGCCGTATAAATTGCTAGGAAAGTGTGTGAAGATCACTTTTGTTTCTGGGTTCGCTCAAATTTGTTTCCTTGTACGAATGCCAAGATGCTGTGCCATAATGGCAGTTAAAATATATGAGGGTGCATTGGCTATTATAAGAAAAAAAAAAGCCCTTTTATTGGACCCTAAGTGTTCAGTTGCTTCTCTGGGTTGGCATGCATGAGGCCTGTTTGGTTTGCTTGAGGGGAAGGTAGGAAGGTAGAGGGCGAGGGGAGGCCAGGGTGCCCCCGAGATGTTTTCCAAGGCTCTATCAGGGTGTGATGGCCTGTGGTGTCTATGATAGAATCATGTGATAGACTCACAAGAGCAACTAGAGCGCTGGACGTGAGTGCTGATATTAGGGAATAGCTATTTGGGAGCAACTCTTTGTTCTCCAGCAAAGGAAAGTGAAATGCAGAGGTCTAGAGTGATATGTCCCTGGTCACATAGCTAGTTTGTGGCTGATCTGGAAGTAGTGCTTGGATTTCTCTCTCTCTCTTTTTTTTTAAGATTTATTTTTATTTATTTATTTATGAGAGAGAGAGAGAGAGAGAGAGAGGCAGAGACACAGGCAGAGGGAGAAGCAGGCTCCACGCACCGGGAGCCCGATGTGGGACTCGATCCCGGGTCTCCAGGATCGCGCACTGGGCCAAAGGTAGGCACCAAACCGTTGAGCCACCCAGGGATCCCCAGTACTTCGATTTCTTGATTCCCTGGCCCAGACGTCTCTTCTCTATATCTTCCATGCAGAGGTGATGATTTCCACTAGATAAACTCTGGTATAATTTTGGTGTTGAATAATGCCTAAGCACTTATTACTAGCGTCCCGAACCTAATGGGCGATAAATTGAAAGCATAATTAAGAATTGAAGAATGATTTTTTTTCTAAATCTGTGGGCAATCGCCTTTGAAACAGCCTTTGGAAACATGATGCTTCGATCATGACTCTCCTGATTGAAGAGACATGTTGAATATCCATACTTTGTGTGTGTTAAGTCGTTGCAGTATAAATTAGGAAAAAAAAAAAGCTCCTGCATTTTACGTTCCAGTTCATTGACTGGGAGGATGAACCGTGCTTTGGGCGTCTTGGATCAGCTCTTTAGTTTATTTTTTTATTTTAATTTTTTTAGCTCTTTAGTTTATAACCTGGATTCCCCATTTTATCTCCCACAAGTCTCAGATGAAGAGAGATGCTTTAAAGCAGTCAGAACTTCCTATCCGAAATGGTTTGGGAAAAAAGAAAAAAAGATTCTAGAATCATTCTAGCATCACTAGATGAAGCAAGCTCTGCTTGCTTTGTTTCTGCTCTGGGACTAAGTGGAGGCCTGTAGGAGATAAAGTCAAGTAGGAAACTAGGAAACCCTGAGGGCATTAAAGTTATTTAAAAAAAATAGGCAGATAATTGTGGGTTTTTTCTTTTTTCTTTTCTTTTCTTTTTCTTTTTTTCTTTTTTTTCTTTTACTTTTCTTTTTTTCTTTTTTTTCCTTTTTTTTTTTTTTTTTTTTTTTTTAAGATTTTATGTATTCAGTTGACAGAGGAGAGAGGGAGAGGCCGGCAGAGGCAGAGGGAGAAGCGGCTCCCGGGGGAGCAGCGCCCATGGGGGGCTCGATCCCGGGACTGGGTGCCCGGCTGCTGGGAGCCTGTGTCTCTAAGGGCGCCGTCCCCACCACGGTCCCGGATGCGGTCGCAGTGCCCGTTGCAGAGGGACGGCCGCCAAGTGGCCTGCGCCACCCGCAGGACAGAGCGGCGCATCGGTGCCCCAGCTGGGACTGTCACCACCGTAGCCCTGCGCCTCCTGTAGGGCTTGGGGCCAAGCCCGCCGCCCCGACAATGGGACGCTCATCTCCATTTACGAAGGAAGCTTCGTGGTGTTAAGTCCCTTAAGGTGTTTGCCCGTCACTCAGGGCCAGGTGGCCCCGAGGCGCGGCGCCCGCCCTAACGGCGAGCCACAGGCTGGTTCACCCCGGGCCCAGGGACAGGCCGTGGGTCTGCCCCTGTTTCAGATCGTCAGGCCGTTCTTTGGGTTTGGGCAGCGAGAGCGCTTAGAAAGTCAGGCCTGAGCCTTGCATCCCTGGGAATGAGGCTGGCTCGATGGTGCAAGCAGGGATCTGTAAGCAGCTCCTGGGAGAAGAAAAAGGGTCCGAAATTGTCAGAGGTGATCAGCGAGGGGGGAGGAGAACCTGCAAGCGTCTGGAAAAAGCAAGGAGAGCTCCTATTGAGCTCTTTATTGGGTACTGAAGAGTTGTACAGAGTAAGTCACTACATGATTTATGAAAAGTCATTATGTCTTTTTCCAGCGGGAAAATGGAATAATGAAATTTTTTTAACTACCCCAGAATTGAAGCTAACGCCGTTGTTCGCAAAATCACGGATTAAAGTGTCCTCTATATACACATCTTCTTTGTGAAGAACGTTTAAAAGTCTTTATACTAATTGCAAATAATTGAATCAGTGTGATGATTTCCACTGATTTGAAAGTCACCAAAAAGCATTTTAGTTCATATTTTGATAAGAAATCATAATATGCTGCTTAACAAGTAAATCACTTTTCTTTTTTGTGTTCACGATTTTTATGTTATCACATTATGACGTTAGGTGTGCGTATGTCACCAGAATGCTCCTATTTCAATTTCTTTAAAAGCATTGAATTCAAAAGGTATGTCTTAATTTATGTTTTTTATATTTTATATATTTTATTTTTTTATATTTTTATGTTTTGAAACTTGCCATGATTTAGTAACATAATTGGGTTTCCTTTTCACCTAACGTTCATTGTTTTAATTGGTATTTTGGTAAACTATACAAATTTTCCTAATCCCCTTTTCTGACATCTTTAATGATAAAATACTGGCGTTTAGAAGGAATTGGCTGAAAGAAAGGCACCATTTGTATCCCAATTAAAATTAAAAACAAATTTCAGGGAAAGACATCATGGAAGAAACTGAAGCATCGCATCTCTAGTATTAGTTAGACCTGGGAAGAAGTCATGGCAAAATGTCATGCCTGGGGGGTGGCTTGCTTACCTATTCTCAAAATGAGATTTTTTTTTTTTATTCTCAAAATGAGATTCAAGGGCAAAATGTCATTTGTGTCACACAGTTCCCACGTGACGGTGACACCATTTATTCTGTATATTTTCTTGCCCGGGGAAAAGAAATGAGAGGATCTTAAAGGAGGGTAGTTATTCATTTTGTCCTTATCCTTCATTGTTGTGAAGCAGGAAATTCGTATGTTGACGACGATAATGATGATGGAAATCTTCTTGATAAAATCATCATCATCATTAAATAGAGAAGGGTTTATCGATGACCAACAGAGATAGGAAGAAGATAGAACCTGGATTTCTGGTTCTGACACCTCGTGACCTTAGACGAGCCTCCCCATCTTTTTGAATCTCCGACTCCCGATCTGACCAGGGAAAGGCCGGTACTGGAGCAGGTCGGCGGTCGATGCGGGCTCCGCGTGGCCCTAACTTTCCCGCCTTCGCCGGCGGAGCCTCCCTTAACCTCGTCTCTTACACAACGGTGCTGGGGAAGGCGCCGGATCGGGTCTGTGGCCCGTGGCCTCGACAGGCAGGACTGTAGGGCTGCGTCCCCTCTCCCGTCCTGTGCAGCTGTAGCTGCCGCAGCAGGTGCGCCCCGCGCAGTCGGCGCCGCGTCTGCGCTCAGGGCCCGGAGGCCCCGCCGTCCTCAAGCAGCTTCGACCCTCCGTGCACCTGCCTCGTAACCCCCGCTTGGCTTTCTTTTCTAACCAAAAATAACAGCGACCCTATCAACGGGTTTGAATGTTTTCAGACTAGGTTCGTTTCATGGAGCAGCAAGGAAGGTGAATAGCTCCACCTGCGGTCTCCAGAAACGCGCGCGTGTGGGCTTCCGTTAAGCAGAGAGGATTCTTACCTTCCCATTTCATTTGTTTTTTGGTTGCAGGACTTCAGATGGTGGCAAAGTTGTTGGCACCATAGAAGTCAGTGTCGTGAAGATGGGGGAGATTGAGGACGGGGAAGCCGACCACGTCACGACAGATGTGCAGGGACAAAAGGTAGGTCCCTCAGCTCGGTGCACAGATGACGTCGGAAATGATCAGTTTTGCCCGAGGCCTGAGCCGCCAACACCCCTGTGCGGCATGAAATCTCACTGTTCAAAAGCAAAATGGGAAACCAGCCGTGCACTGGAGGGCTGTGGGAACCCCCGGAGCCGGGCCTCCGTGCACGGAGGTGTGCAAAGCCACGCGGCCCTCGGGAGCACCTTCCTCTTGGCCCTGGCTCCCACGTGGAGCACGAGCGTCCTTCACTGCTGCGTCCCGCCCTGATTAACCCCACGTGAGATGCACGGAAGGTTCTGGGAGGGCTATTGCCCAAAGTCGCCACTTCTCCACTCTCCAAACCCTCTTTAGAAACACACGGACTATGAGTTTAGATCCCGTTTATATGTGAAGGTGAAGAGATTTGGTAATGTTCTTGCCCGGTGACATTGCAGGGAGAAGAGCGGGGACAGCGTGGGGCCTTGGAGGAGGGGCCGCACCTGCCGCAGGTGCAGCCCCCCCCCCCCGAGGCTGAGGATGGAGGCCCCGTGCATAGCAATGTGTGTCCACGATTTTTACCTTCTTTTCTCTGACAAAGGGAAGCAACCTAAGTATGAATCGAAATTCCTGTCTTAGGAATGCAATTGCCTATTTATATCTGGGAAGATTCTCTATTTCCGCCATATATATCCCTACTTCTCATAAATGAGCGTCTTCTGATGATACGGCCTTTGGCGACTTCCTTCCCGGCTCAGTGGAGCACGCTTGATCTGCGGTGCTAGGAGGCATCTTCATGGGAGAGGGGGGTTCTCTAACACAACAAAGATTTTGCAAAAGAAAGCTAGGACCGCCCTTCAAAAGATTGGGGGTGACTGGGTGACGGGCACTGAGGGGGGCACTTGATGGGATGGGCGCTGGGTGTTATTCTATATGTTGGCAAATTGAACACCAATAAAAAATAAATTCACAAGAAAAAAAAAAGAAGAAATCCTTGGGGGAATCTTAACATAAAAAAAAAAAAAGAATATTGTTTTTGCCCCGGAATAGGCGAGGGCCTTATCTGCTGGGCCGATCCTGGTTCTTCTCCCCCTCACAGGCTGCTGGAGATCATGAACATGTTCTAGGGAGGCCCGGAGTCTGAATAGGGTTGCCTGGAAATGCACAGGCTGTCGTGGGGGCAGCGGGTCATGTTGAGATCCGTGTGCCGGCTCCCGGGGTGTGTGCCTCTGGGCCCCACCGACGCCCCACCGACGGGGTCCCTTCCTTCAGTCCTTCCTTTGTGGTTCTGTATACAATGCATAGCGGTCACCACCGCATGGAAGCTTCCATCAGGATCAAGGAGGCCAGACCTGGGGGCCCGGTGGGGGACTGAGGCCGGGAGTAGGACACCACTGGCAGGAACGCCTCCCGTTGCAGCGGAGGCCTCCCTTGCCGGCTGCAGATCTCTTCCCGGCCGCTCTCTGTGCTCCTCAGAGCTCCCCCCGCCACCCCCCTATGGTGTCGCTATTACGAGGTTGTGCCGGTTGAATCAGACTCTTCCTAAACGGAGAACTTGAAGCCCAGGGCTGTGCCCCTCCAGAGCCCCTCATAGTGCTGCCTCCGCGCCGTGTCCTCCCGTGGCCTTCCCTTGGCACAGCCACTGAGCTCTGCTGTCTCCTCCTCTTCCCACAAGCCTGATAGGGTTAGAGCCCCACCTTGATCACATCGGGTTAGAGCCCCCCCACGCTTATCACATTGGGTTAGAGCCCCCCACCCTGATCACATTGGGTTAGAGCCCCACCCTGATCACATTGGGTTAGAGCCCCACCCTGATCACATTGGGTTAGAGCCCCCCACCATGGCTTATCACATTGGGTTAGAGCCCCCCTACACTTGTTAGATCCCATTGGTTTAGAGCCCCCACCCTGTATCACATTGGGTTAGAGCCCCCCACACTTGGTGATCACACTGGGTTAGAGCCCCACCTTATCCATTGGTTAGAGCCCCACCCTTATCACATTGGGTTAGAGCCCCACCTTATCACATGGGTTAGAGCCCCCCACCCTTATCACATTGGGTTAGAGCCCCCCACCCTTATCACATTGGGTTAGAGCCCCCCACCCTTATCACATTGGGTTAGAGCCCCCCACCCTGATCACATTGGGTTAGAGCCCCCCACCCTTATCACATTGGGTTAGAGCCCCCACCCTTATCACATTGGGTTAGAGCCCCCCACCTTTATCACATTGGGTTAGAGCCCCCCACCCTTATCACATTGGGTTAGAGCCCCCCACCCTTATCACATTGGGTTAGAGCCCCCCACCTTTATCACATTGGGTTAGAGCCCCCCACCCTTATCACTTTGGGTTAGAGCCCCCCACCCTTATCACATTGGGTTAGAGCCCCCCACCCTTATCACATTGGGTTAGAGCCCCCCACCCTTATCACATTGGACTTGAATCACCTCCACAAAAGCTGTCTCCAGATCCCGTCCCGTCGGGTGTTGGGGCTTCCACGTAATGAATTTTGAGGAACACAATCCAGCTCGTGACAATATCCCTGATATAAAATACTGCATTTTTAGAATATTTTATTTATTTATGTCTTTATGTACATGCCTATTTTTTTATGAGAGCGAGAGCAAGAGGGGCAAGTGAATGGGGGGAAGGCAGAGGGAGAGGGAGAGGATCGCCAGCAGACTCCCGCTGAGCGCGGAGCCCATCACAGGGCCTGATCCCACAGCGCTGAGGTCACGGCCTGAGTGGAAACCACGAGTCGACGCCCAAGGGACCGAGCCCCCCAGGCGTCCCCGGCTTGAACTTTTACTCGATCCGTGCTCCGACACAGTGACGGAAGAGACAGCCCTGAAGTCACACAGCTGGAGAAAGGAAGATTCACGAAAGAAACAGTGACGTGGACGTCTCACAGAGCGTGCCGCGTAGGTGAAACATCGCATTAGGTATCCGGTCTCTTTTTTTTTTTTTTTTAAATCTTTGGAGTCATTTTGGGCTCATTTCTTTCTCTTTCACTCCCAGGGAGTGTCAGCAAGTCCTGACTTTATAAGTATATCCAGCCCCCGGTGACCTGCGGGCCCGTCCCTCCTAGGACGTCACAGACGTTTTCATAGCCGTCTCTTAAAGGTCCCTCCTGCCGCCCTCCCGCCACCCCCATCATCATAGTCTGTTCTCAGCGAAGCGCTTATTAAAACGTAACGCGGACCATGTCATTCCCCCGGTGGCTTCTCCGCTCCCTAAAAGTGTGCACCGAAACCCTTCCAGTGACCCCCGTAAAGCCCTGCGAGCGTTGGCCCCCGTGGCCCACTCTTCGCTCACCTTCATCCGGCCTCGCGACCTTCTTGTCCGTCCGTTGAACATTCCAGGTGCGTTTCCACGTCCGGCCCGTTGCTTCACTTTTCAGTCTGCCTTTGTAGCGTTTTCCCCAGGTAACCGTGTGCTCCAGGCCCTCGCTTCCTTCCGGTCTATTTGCAGAATGTCACCTTCTCACCTGCCTTCTCTCCCCGTATCCAAAACCGTGACGTCTACCGGAGATTTTCTGCCTCCTCTCTCTGCGTTATTTTTGTCCTCCGTCCGTCCCGCTCTCTGCCATCACGCGGACTTTATGCATCTCATTCATTGTCTAGGCCCCTCACCAGAATTAAATTTCACGAGAGAAAGGTGTTGTCTGCTTTACCGCCCAGCGCCCAGGAGGGAGCCTGGCACAGGAAAAATGAGGGAATGAGTCAACGAGGTCAGTTTTACCTTGAAGAAACAAAAATCCAAAATTGCCTCCCAGAAGGGACAATATTCGGACGAACGGGTTGGTCCATTGATAAAGGCTGGAGTGGGAATGCCGTAGAGTGTGGAATCATGAAGGAAGGAGGAAGGAATTGTTTAAAAGCAACCTTTGGCTTAACTATTCAAGAAAGACAAATGGTACCAGGGAAAGAAGAATGAGCAAGCAAAATCATCAAATCAGGTGATAGGCAGAAAAAGCAATGTAGTAAGAGCCAATGGATCCAGTGAGATGGCCCTAGAGCTCCCGTCTGCCATGCCACGGAGGTGACTTGGCGTCTCGTCGGGGAGGAGGCCGGGGGCAGGAATCCTCCAGTGAGGCTCTGCGGGGGCCGAGGTCAGCTCCTGCCTTCGCTCCCCTTCCGGCTCAGTGTCTGTGTCCCATTTGAATGTGGCACAAGACTAAGGGACAAAGTCGTGATTTCTATAAAACGTGCATTTATGACAGCGACAAAGATGGCGTAAATGGACTCATAATACATCTCTTTTTACTGCGAGCCTAACCTCATGAGTATTTTGAAGACTTGCTGACCCTGTCAGGTCATCTTGCCCTGTTTTGAAGTGTTCTATTTTATTTTATTTTATTTTTTTAGATTTAAGGATATTTATTAGCCATGGCCAGGGAAAAGGTAGGGCTCTAAGGCAGCTAAGGGCCATCTTGAAAGGCTCCATCCCTTTATGTTTCCCAAATAGAAAGTTGAAAATAATATAACTGACTTGACTTACCTTATACAATATCCGCAGACGTGTAATATTCATGATGCATTCATCAGACAATAGTGCCTTCTATGTTGTAGGCATTCGGCTAGGTTGTGGGAATTCAGCAGGCACAGGTGCTGCCTTCTAGGGAAGCAAACAGTAGCACAATAATACTGTTGACCAAATGGTACTATATGTCATAGGAAATAGAAGGGTACAAGGGCTAGGGGATGTGGGCTGTGGCCATTTATCCTGGGTGATCAAGGATAGATTCACTGGTAATATATCTGAACCAGAACGTGCATGATATAAGGGACCAAGACATGGATCTCTGAGAGGAACGAGCATTTGGGCAGAGTGAAGAGCAAGAGCAAAGGCCCTGAGGTAGCTGCGAGCCTGTCATCTGAAGGAACGCCAAGGACACTGCTGTGACTGGAACCGGGGCTTGCAAAAAAAAAGTGGTAGGAGTGGGAGGTGAGGTCCACAGGCGGGGGAGACGGACTGTACACTGCCTTATAGGCATTAGACCCTGAGCTACATGGATTTTTG